CCTTTTGGGCTAAAGACAAGTGACTTGTGATGCACAGGTCAGATTAATCGGACTAATTACACAATACTAATTACATTTAAAGTCTCTCTCAGAAAAAAATTAATTTGTATCAAGCAGAGACAATTTAGAACATGTGATAAATTTTCCCTGCCTCTTTAAGATTTGTATTAGTAAGGCTTTACTTTCACATGCAATCGATTATACATTGGGTATAAATAATAGCTACCTTTTATTGAGTGTTTACATGGTGCCAGGAGCTTTAATTAACAATTTATTTAACAAACACTTAAATAGTACTATATGTTCTAAGTATTCTGCAAATATTAACTTAAGTAATAACCATCATGAGATACAAACTTCTATCATTCTTCTTTACACATAAGGAAACTAAGAACAGAGAGGTTAGGAAATGTGTCCAAGGACACAAAGCTAGTAAATGTCAGAGCCAGGATTCAAACCCAGGTTTCCTGGCTTTACAATCCATACTCTTACCTATTACCCTATAACACTTACCTGTATTGCCACCCTGTCTCTAGCATTATCAATAATCCCTACAATCTCTTCCTCAAAAACAGACTAATCTCTGTTCGATAGATACGGCAACCTGGACCTACAGAGGTTAAATCATCAGCTCAAGGTCACAGCTTCTAAGTGGTGTAGCCAGAAATTGCACCAGCACTGTTACCAAACTCAGCACTCTCCCTGTTTGAATTGGGATTATTTTCTGAAAACTTCCTCCAAGTAGTTCATACATTTCAATCCTTATCCAAGTATTTATTACAAACATTTCAGACTGGGAAAGTTGGAGAATAAAACTAAATGTTATTCATCTATTTATTCTCAACTTAATGCCTGAATAACCTGAGACAAAATAGCTAGGAGAAATAGTACTGTAATTACTAAAATTACTGAAAACCAATATTGTTTTGCATTCAGCTTCTTACTGCAAATGTCCCAGCACTCACATTTTACAAAGGTGGGAGGTCTCATGATTGAGGCAATGAGCACACACAGGTGTGGGTGAATCTATGGCTCATTAGGTGTCTGAAGTTTTGATCCACTGGGCGAACATAAACTAGAAGCTGATCTCAAAGCCATGTTTCTGTATTTATTAAAAATGAACCATGTCTGATACTTATACTCCACTTCCTGTCTTATAACACAAATATTAAAATATTTAATATTTAAACCTAGTTTTGGTTTGTGCTTCTTTTCAATTTCAACATATAAGATGGCTAAAACAGTTCATTTATTCATGTTATTTAGCAATTAAAGATCTTCATAAATAAAAGAAAAAGAAAAAAATATATAATTTAAGGGGACAATTTTATATTCTGAGTTCTTGCAATTTCTTTTCATGGAGCCTCATCTTTCCCATATATTTGATTTCTTTAAAATCCAAGAATTCTCAAAGAGATCAGAAGATGTTCTTAAAAGAAAGCAGAGCCATCAAAGAGTTATGAAATCTATGAATAAAAAGAAATATCCTGGAGAAATTCTTTAAAGACATTGGAACACACCTAAACTTCACATGGCATGTGGAATCCTTCATGACCTGGCCCCCGCCTACCTGTCTAGGTTCTTTTCCTATCATTCCTCACTGGCATTTACATGCCACTGGCTGAGACCCGTATCCCAACATTCCAAGTTCTCTCTGGCCTCTCTGCCTTTGCACATACTGATTCATTTGCTTGAAGAAGCCACCACGACCCCCACCCCTACCTCTCCCTCTCTCTATCTTGCCCCTCCACCCCCATCCCACCATAAATCCCTTCTTTTTAAACAAATTTTAGCTAATAATTTCCCTGATTTTTCCAGGCAGAGTTAGTCTTTCTCCTAGCCTCATGGCCTTGAAAACAATGATCTTTTTGTGTTATATTTACTAAAGGTCTGGTTCTTTACTTGATTAACTCCTTGAGGTGAGAACAGAGTTAAGCTTTTCTTGTTGCTGTTGTTTTTGTCTTGAAATATGTGAATCTCCAGGACTTAGCTCAGGAGCAGAGTAGATAGATGCTTAATAAACACTAAAATTTGGGGTTGAGGGTAGTGAGGATAACAGAAGATAAAGTGTGGGCAAGAAAATATTTGAGTGCTTAGCTATACTGTGTGTGCAAGTGTGTGTCTCCATTTGTGAGCAATGGAAGCAGGGGCACTAAATGTATAAATATAGAATGATGGAACCCACAGTTCAGTTAGTGAGCACCCCTTGAGGAGGAACTGACACATGATACTTGGAAATTACAACATGGTGTAGTGAAAGAAGCACAGACATTGTGGTCAGCGAGACCTAGGTTTGAATTCCAGCTCTGCTACTTATTATCTGAGTCACCTTAGCAAGTTATTCAATCTCTTTGCTTTTCAGCTTTCTTATCTAAAAACTGGCGAAAGCTATGCAGCTCCCAAGGTTGCTGTGAAGATGAAATGATATAAATACCTAGCAGAGTACCTGAAATAGTGAGGGCACAACTAAAATGAGGTTAGTTGTCATACTATCTCTTAACCAGAGAAAACAACTTTAGGAATCTGACATTTTACCCATCTTCTATATAATTAGAAGGACTTGCAGTTTAGATATTCAAAAATAAAAATAAAAACAGTAAAAACAAACAAAACAAAAACCTAGCTATCACATAATGACATTAGAAATACTGATGTGACCCACCCATATTTTAGGACAGAATTACAGTAGACACACCACAGCCAGGCAAAACTTGGTTATAACCTTAAAGCAATATTGTGTTTTCTGTTTGCAAGTTTCTTTGGTGTCTCACTTTGACATTTTCTTTTGAGATGTTAAGTGACAGCACTTTGTAATTCCTATAGCGTTATGAGTCATATCTCTAATTTTTCTCTGGGTAAGAAAACTCCCGGAACTCCTTTGACCTATTGTTTTTGTGAATTTTTTGTTTTGGTAATAGGGGACTATAAAAGTGAAGCAGGGGTTTCCCCCTTCTTTCTACAGAGCTAAGGACTTTGTAAAAGAAGACAAGGACTTTCTCTGGGAAAAAAAAAAAAACCAACAAAAAACACTTCTAGGGCAGCTGATGCTTTTAAGGAAGAATAGACAAAAAATTCCAGTGAAGTGCATTATAGAAGGTTGGCAAAAAGGAGAGAAATGAAAGAGACAAAATGGGCCAAAAGAAGAAGATAAAGGGGAAAAAAACATAAACGGAAGAAGTGAATATATATTTAAAAAACTATGAAAGCATTCTAATTCTGTGTATCACATTTTCACACAAAAATAACAAATCAATGCCATATATATATATATATATATATATATATAATAAATTAACTTAGAAAACTTTGTCTTACTCAGGCAATCCCATTAGGAAGAAAGTCACAGACTACAGAATGGAAAATCCATTACACATCCTGTAACATATATAACACCGACATTTAAAACAAAATGAGTAATAATTACTTAGCTTCTCCAAAATGCCCCAGACAAAAACTAACAGGAAATGGCACAGAAATAAATCAGTTTAATGCACAAATCAGAGGCTTTTAACTTTGAGTACCCAACCTAGCCAGTCAACCAACAATTTCTTGGTCAGCTCTTCCCATGTGGAAGTCTCCCTGCTCCCCTTTAACAATCCTAGAACAAAACAGCACCACTTGTAACTCTACTAAGCTTTTAACCTGTGCCCTTTAATCTTCTTTAAAACCCTAACTAAAATAAATCTCCTTCCCTCCCACACCTTCAACCTCTACTGCTGCTGCTCTAGTTCAGACCCGCGTTTTCTTAATTAGCCTACTGCATTAGATTCCTTATTAATCTTCAATCTCACCCACATCTCCCATCTATCTTAACTCTGCTGCCAGAGACATACTTCCAATGTGCAAATCTAACCACGTTATCCCACTCCCACTTTATGCCCATCCGTGCCATAAAATTTTCAATAGGCTAGACTCCCCATTACCTACAGAATAAACTCTAAAATCTTTTACATGGCATTCAAGACTCTTCATATTCTGGTCTTTACCTCCCTGCTCCTCCTGTGTCAATCCTCCATACCTACAGATTTTTATTTAACCAATATTGAGCTACACTTCCTGCTCTTCCAATCTCTGTCTACCTGCCTGCGACATCCTACTTCTGTTTATCTTCCTGGCAAGTTTCTAACTCATCTCTTCAGCCTAAGTTCAAATAATTCCTTCTCTGCAAAGCTTTCCTGACTCCTTGGGAAGACTGATGTCCCCCAACCTATGTTCCTACCACAGTCTGTACATACATTTTTTATGGCAGCTATTGCACCATATTTTTTTTTCAGTTTTATTAAAGCATAATTGGCAAAAAAACCCCTGTATATATTCGATGTGTATAATATGATATTTTGACATACATATATGTTGTGAAATGATTTCCACATATATTTAGCATGCACAGTACCTGACTCATAAATATTTATTAAGGGAATGAGAGTTTTGACTATGTGAATTAAGAAACTCAGAATATAAAGTATAAGCATTTTTATAATTGTGAACAGGTAGGAGGAAAACAAGCAAAATAATCTCTGCCTTTAGTTTCCATGTTATCATCTGAAACCCTATCGTATCAGAGTAAGGCAAGGTGCTTTTATGTCCTAAATATTTCTCATTCTACTTCCATCACTTCGTTCTTTTCTCTGACTGTAGCCAGCAGCCATAATTAGGAGAGCAGGCAAGAGCACCCGCAGCCCACACTGCTCCTCCAGCCTGTCCTCCCTCCAAACACATCCACATGCAGGCAAATGTACCTCGTCCAGCAGAGCCCCTCCTGAGGGAGCTGGACACGAATCAGACCTCAGGTGTAGCTCTGCCAGTGTATATTAATAATGAATTTACTTCCCTTACTTTTAATTACACACAGAACTAAGGAAACATGTAAAATACACTTTGAGAAAGCCTGACATTATCAGGTAGAAACGCTCCTGAATCTGCACCTGCAGGCCTGTTTCTGCAGACCGAGAGCAATGGCTCATGTCTCATCATGTTAGAGCCAGCTGTGTCCCCGTTACCTGCTATTTTGATATTCATGTTGTTATCCAGCAGGAGATTTTCAGCCTTAAGGTCACGGTGCACAATCTTCCGACCATGACAATAATCAACAGCAGACAGAATTTGCCAGAATTTTCGCCTGGCTTCGGACTCATTTAACCGGCCATGATTAGCAAGATAGTCTATAAAAGAAGAGAGAATTTAGAATTAGTCACCAAAATAAAATAACTCCACTATTAGTATTCAGGAATTTTTTCCTCCAAAAAAAATTTTTTTTTTAATGAATAAGGATTAGTGTTCAAATAATATGTTCTTGCCTTTGGAGAAGTAATTCCAATCATATTTCACTAGAGTCCAAATAAATGGTGAGAGCCCAAGACCAGACAACAGCAAGCCGCACAATATTCAAAGTATAACTCAAAATGATCATTTTATGCCTAAGCACTCCCTGTCTTTTTGATGAAAAATATATTGAGTATTTCTCCTAATCACACTTTAAAAATAAAACATATAAAACAGAGAACATGAGTGAATTCTCTGAGATCTCATCAGACAAAGGATATCTTTTCTGAAATACTGTTTTCATGCACTTATTATACAAAACACTTTTAACACAAGATGTGGTGGTACCTGGAAGTAGCTTAAATAATTCACATCCCGTTCTGTTGAAAGGAACAATTTTGATCCACCCAAGAACATGCTGATTTGTTCTCTAAAGTAAACACTGTCATGACAGTCATTTTCTCTGAACTAAAGACAAATATATTTTGCAAGGTACGTTATCTTGTACAATGTTATAATCTTCATTAAAGCAGTTTACCTGAATATGAATTCTACATATACTGTGTACATGAATTCAATAAGACTAAACATTACAACTCATTCAAGTTTCATCTGAAGATCTAAAAGGCCTCTGAAATTATCTTTTGAGGGAGAGAGGGATCACCACAAACCTTGAAAGACTTTTTTATTTAAGATAATTTTCCTAACTAAGGAACTGTCTGGTGAATCAATAGTCACAGTCATCTTCACAAATTTTCTGCTCTAGTGCTTACTAATTTGCTGGCTTTTAAATTCCATGCCTATGGCCCATGCCCTTCTCAATATTTACTATAAAATTTACTAAGATTTGCACAACACAAAGCATGTTCATATTGTAGTATCTCATTTAATCTTCCTGAAATGCTCTATGAGAACTATTACTCAATTCCCATTTTATAGATCGGAAAGCTGAAGATCACAAGGATTAAGTAATCTGGCTGAATTCATACAATTGGTGAGTGAATAGTTGATCTGGGACTAGAACCTTTGACCGAAGTTTTTATTATCAAGCATCTTTACTAGACTCCTGCTAAAATCCTAACCGTGCTTTTAAAACCCTACTGAAATGCCACCTTCTCCTTAAATAGTCCCTCATTGCTTCAAGTAGAAATAACCTCTTTTCTCTGAACTCTTTGTCACTTATCATACACTGACATGTGCTAGTATTGGAAACTGAGACGGTAAGTTTTCATCACATCTTGCCCTTGCTTTTATACTGTATGTAATTATCTGCATGCATATCATAAATACATATGTGTGTGCATGCACACAGCACAAACTCTAACATGCTGTGTTTTGAAAACTTAAAGATATCTTCATTTAAGCTTCCTGAGGACAAGGACTATAATTCTCATCTGTGCTCCCCACAATGCTTAGCACTATGCCCAAAACATCATAGGTACAATACTTCATACTTAGCTGATTAAGGTCCTATCATGGATGGTGTCATAAACTCTTCCATCAACAGTATTATAAAAATATGGAGTAGTATGCCATACTCTACATATTACAGGCTTTAAATGTAAGTAGACATTTTGTCTATTCTTCTACATGGGCTAGTATCAGAAACTGAGACATCTTCCCCTTTATCACATATTCCCCTTGCCTTTACAGAGCCTGCATAATCAGCTGTCCATAACTCTGAAGGAGAGGAAAAGATCACTCAAGCATATGTAGAAGTTTTGATCAAAATGTCCAAACTGCCATCAGAAAGATTATGTTTAAGAACTGGCAAGTGGACAATGTGTCTCCTTCCCCCCTCGCCCCCCCACCCAGAGACAGGCTCACACTGTCATCCAGGCTGGAGAGCAGTGCCACGATCACAGCTCACTGCAACCTAGAACTCCTGAGCAATCCTCCCGCCTCAGCCTCCCAGAGTGCTAGGATTATAGGTGTGAGCCACGGCACTGGCCTGTTATTGTTTTTTAAAGCTATCAGTCCAAAATTGGCACTACCACAGGCAAGGGGGAGAAAAAACTTTGAAACTTGGCATCAGGAAAGGTATTGTCTGAAAAACAAAGGCATGGTATATCTGGACCTAAAATTACCATGTAAAGCCACAGTCATCACATGTCAGTAAATACGTAACACACAGTGTGAGGAAAATGACAATATCCAAATTCCAGAGATTAAGAGACAAACCATACAGAGAGGTGATACTTTCACTATTTAAGTGAAAATCTCAGCAAGTATTCCCGTGTATCTATTACCTTCCTCATTCTTTATGATTTCTGCCATGTAAGCATCCCTGAAAACTTAACATCTGCTGAGAAATCAGTAACACAAGTAACTGAGCCAGAAACCTGTGGCTGCAAATAAAATCAGTTTAGGTTTCACATCATCCCCTCTGAGGAGCACTGTTATCAGTCCAAACTCAATTTAATGCACAAGGTCCTGAAGATAACACACAAAAAGCATACTCATGTTTCACATTAAAAACCTCTTTAATTACGATTACAGAACAAACTTATGAGTGTAATGGCAATTCTCTGTATTAATTGCTTACGTGTGTATTTTTGATGAATGGATACCATTTTTTAAAATTTCTTTTTTCCTATGTTTACATTTGTTCTGATTGTGAAGTGAAATGTGATTTTATGTTTGTTGAGTTTAATAACAAAACCTTTTAAGGTTTAAGGTTATATTTTGTATGTCACTCTCCCACCACCTTGCTTTTCTGGTAATTGATTTCTATTGTAGTTTACAAAAATCATGGTATGCAACAGACTGGACAATTTAAGCTCAATACCGGTAAGTTTGAGAAATACTGGTATAGGCAAACAGACAGGCAATTACAATACACTGCAACAGAGGTTAGCACAGGAATAAATATGTCCTAATAAATACATCATTTTGCAGATATCTTTTTAATTTTCTAACATTTTATTATGAAAATTTTAAATATACATGAAAGTACAGAAAATAGTATAATGAATCCCCAAGATGCAAGAGTTTTCAACATCTTGCCATACTTGTTTCATTTACCCTTTTTTCTTTCATTCCTTTTTTTTCTGCTGTAGTAACACAAAGCAAATTTTGACATCATTTTGTTTTGTCCTAAATACTTTTGTATATATCTATTTAAAAATGATACTTTTTTACACATTGCAATACCATTATCACAGGTAACATAATTAATAATTCCTTAATATCATCTAATACCTAGTCTGAGTTCAAAATTCCCTAATAGGCTTATTTGAATCAGAATCCAAACAATTTGAACATTTTGCATTTGCTTTTCTTTGGAGTTCTTTTATTCTGGAACAGTTCCCCTATTCTCCCCCTGTACCTTTTTACCGTGCCACTGACTTGAAGAAACTGGGCTGGTCATCCTACATTCTGAATTTGGCTTTTGCTTCCTCATGATATTGTTTAACTTATTCTTCAAGCTCCTACATTTCTTGTAAATTGGAATCCAAATATAATGGACTGAATAGATTCAGGTTTAATTTCTTTGGGGGTGGCAAGAATATGTCATAGGTGCATCTACAAGGAGGAATATAACATCTGGTTCTTCTTTTAGGAGTGCTGAGATTGGCTCGCAAGTTCTGCAGGTGAGAGCCTGATCCTTCAGTGAAAGATTTTCATCAATCTTTCTCCCAATGTCATGGTTCTCAGACTCCAATGTACCCCAGAACTCTCAGAGGGCTTGTTAACATATTGATCACTGGGACCTACCCTCAGAGTTTCTGATACAGTCGATGTTGGAAAGGGCTCGAGAATTTGTATTTTTTTAAGTATCCATGTGATGTTTAAGACGGTGGAATAGAGGCCACACTTTGAGAACCATAGCACTAACAGTTTTAGTATTCATTGGTGGTTGTTGCATGAATCAATGATTTCATTAGGGGTTGCACAGTTGTGATTTTTCTAATTTTTTGATTCCTGCTACATTTATTAGATAAAATTCTGTAGAGAATTTTCTCTTGTTAACTAGGGTTAGTTATTCTGAAATACAAACTGAACAGGATAAAAAAGATGAATGCTTAATTCTTTGATTTGTATGTTTATTTGTTTTATTTTTCAGCTTTCTTTTTTTCTCTTTCATCATTCTTTTAAGTATCATAATAAATGCCTAGATTTTTATATGCTATTCAATATTTCCATGAAATATAATCATTGTTCTTTTTAAAAATTTGTTTTATTTTTAAAATTAAAAAAATTTTTTAAATACAAGAGACAAAGAGTCTTGCTTTGTTGTCCAGACTACAGAGCAGTGGTGTGATCACAGTTCACTATGATTCTGAAGTCCTGGGCTCAAGTGATCCTCCTGCCTCAGTCTTTCAAGTAGCTGGGACTATAGGTGAGCACTACCATGCCTGGCTAATTTTTTAAATTTTGTAAAGATGGGATCTCACTATGTTGCCCAGGCTGGTCTCAAATTCCTGGCTTCAAGTGATTCTCCTGCCTCAGCCTCACAAAGTGCTGGGATTACAGGTGTGAACCACCGTGCCTAGCCCATTATTTTTTTTTTGATGCTCAGAATTTCCCATCTTTGGACAGTGGATACCCCATTATACTGTTTTTTGATTTTAACACGACTACAAAAATATTCAATAGCTTTGCTTTTTGTGGCATGATAAAAATGGCCTGTGTTTATCTTGAATATTTCCTGCCCCAAACCTGGAATCAGTCATTTCTCCAAGAAGTCTCGGTTATTTTCATGGGGGGATGCTATCTGGGTGCTCAGGTGCTTATTACCACCGGGTCGGCACTGCTTTTAAGCCCTTTCAGGGACGGAGCTAGGAAATAAGCACTTTTAAAAAGAAAAAAAAAATTAATGAAAAAATATCTTGGTTTTTAACATTAACATAAATTGCTTGTTTTATCCTACAATATACATAAAATAGTTTCAAAATAG